GGCTGAAAGCGAAACTTCGGCAATGTACACACAGAACACAGCTGTAAGCAATGAAGTCCATGTAATGTGATCTGAAACAGGCAGTTTCAAACATACACCGTCTCCGGTGATTGGATGAGACGCTCGCGGGAGGCGGGATCATTCGTGCAGCTCACTCGCTATTGGCCGAGTTGATATGACTTCGTTTATAGTTCAGCCCACTTCTTTTCATCGCTATAAACTGTGGTGATAAATTCAGAGCATTAGCAGCACACTATTATTGAGTGTTGCCAGCATAATGAAAGCTAAATTACACTAACATGAACAATAGGACAAACGCTACATCAACAGGGTTATTTATAAAGCATGAACAATAACAGCATGACCAAAGTTAGGTCATTTCTTATTACACTGCAGTGTATATTTTAGTTGATGATGATAATGGCGATATCAATAAAAATAAGAGGAAAAAGAACAATAATAGTTTTTTCCCCTGATGCGGTTCGAATTAAAACTCCATAAAACGATGGGTAGATAAGGTAGGATTTAATTAAATAACCTGACAAATACATGAAAATAAATTCATTCATTCATCTCATTCATTCATCTTCTGCCGCTTTTCCAGAGCCGGGTCGCGGGGGCAGCAGTCTTACGAGAGAACCCCTCGTATTCAATGGAGCTTCTGCGTTAATCTGCCGATTCTGACGGGCGAGTGCGAGTAAAGGATCTTTTGTCTAGTTTTACGCTTGAACAACTAAATAAATGCCAAAGTTTATTTAACTGAATGTATTTTAATTGCATCACAACATCAATGCTGTAAAAGGAACCGTATAAAATGGAAAATAAACTCACAATTACCGGTCACCGGAAGTTTATATGGGAACAACACTAGCTCGGCATATATCCAATTATTTTCATCAGTCTCCATATTTTACTGCATCCCAGAATATTACACAGCACCAAAAATTAAAATATATATATTGAATATATTTAATATATTTTTGTCTACAGCGGACGGCAACTCGCCGTGACGCAGATTCCTGAGTCTGTGTGCTCCAATCAGCTGACCCCCCTACAGCGTTCGCCATGACAACGAGACAACAGTGACTCGCCTTGTAAAAATTTGCATATGCATTCCTATAAAGCTCTTGTGCTCTCTATCAGCGATGTCATTTCGCCCGGTGTAGCTGTTTGTACTTGACCAAGGTGAGTTCAATACCGACGGTACGAGGTGAGCCACGCCAATCTCACGAAGTCCGCTTCGTGAAGCTTCACCCGGGCCCGTCTGTGCTGTAGTTCCTTGCGGTTTGCGTACATAAACGCAATATCGCAAAGAATATTACGTGTTTGTTGCTCGAAATGTGCCGCCGAGCAACATCCAGTGAATACTGGCACGGCCTGGCGCCCGGTCTTCTCGTGCACTCCCTGGGGCGAGGTGGCCTTTGAGCCCTAGGCAGGGAGCAAACAACCCCCGAGGACCCTCAGGGAAACACGGGGGGCCGGTAGTGGGACCTCGCTACGGGGGTTATGGTGGGTGGGAGTAGCGAGGCCCACTCATCTTCTATTTTAAACTATAGTTTCAAACTTTAGTTTACTATAGTTTGAAATAGAAACCATGGTAACTGTTATGATTTAACTTTATGCAAAGAGCTTAGGATGACCAAGAGCAACGGATTCCGCCATTTTGAAGTGAAAGCGATCGGCCGTCCATTGGATCTCATTGTTGTCGCGATGGCAAACATCTGCTTTGTTTTTATTTAATCTATTAAAAAAAGCGCGTTATTGTTTCACAAATTGCACTAGAGTGTCGCCTCTTGGTGATTCTATGCTCTTTGCTCTTTGTCTGAATGTTGTAATGTTTTGCTTTGTTTTTCAGATGAGTTGTTGAGCAAAGAAGGACTATTGAAGACAACAGTTGAAGACAACCGCAGGTTATATTCACGAGCGCGCGCATCATCATGTTTCCGGGCTGTTTTCTGAAAGTGTGTCTTGTTTAGATAAAGTTGCAGGTCAAACTAAATAAACTATACTCTTTCTAAACACCTGTCTCGTGTTTTATTTGTCCTCTACAGCTAGCACTGTCATATAAGTCTGTTGAATGCATTTGTATGCAAAAGGGGTTGACAATACAGTAGTCTAACAAATAAATAGTTGTTATAAATGTACCTTCAATAGTCAACATTTGGTGTAGGTAATAAAAAGTTAATCAAAGATGTCCTAAGACATAAGAGTAATGTTATAGTTGTTACATAACTATATTTATTATTATTTTGTATTTTTAAAACCAGCAGATTATATATATATATATATATATATATATATATATATATATATATATATATATATATATATATATATATATATATATATATAACATGTCATGTACTTACTGTTATTCAAAAATTTGCTTAATAAAAAGTCCTAAGACAAGAATGGGTGTTGTTTTGGTTTTATATCAACCTACTGTAGGTTTTAGGGTGAATACAGCAGATATAGGCTACCTCTTTCATAATATTGGTAGTCGGTTTATATATATATATATATATATATATATATATATATATATATATATATATATATATATATATATATATATATATATATATATATATATTTATAAAAGAAGTTGAACAAGTTGTCATAATATTTAGTCATTAGACTATGTGACCGCTAGATGGCGCTCATATGAAAGGAGCGTTACCCTGTACTAAAATGGCGGATCTATTGACGCATTCCGTCCAAAAGACAACGTTTTGGGTAGGCTCCTCATTAATGTTTTTATTATGTCCAGACTGGACTACTGTAACTCTTTTATTCAGGAGTTTCACAGGCATCAATTGCACGCCTGCAGCTGGTTCAAAATGCAGCTGCTAGGCTTTTAACTGGGACTAAAACTTTTCTAGTATCTCACCAGTTTTATCATCTCTTCACTCGCTCCCAGTCCAATTTAGAATTCAATATAACTTATTGCTACTTGTTTTTAAAAGTTTGAATGGTCTCGCACCTATTTACATCCCTGAGCTTCTTCACTGGCACACTTCATTGAGGCCAATCAGGTCGGAAAACACATTTCAGCTAGTCGTCCCGAAAACACGGTTGAAATCAAGAGGTGACAGGGCTTTTTCTGCTGAAGCCCCCCGAATGTGGAATGGTCTGCCTTTACATATCAGGTCATGTTCTTCACTTGGTGCTTTTAAGTCTCATCTAAAAAATCACCTTTCTGTCTCTTGCCTTTGATTGTAATTAATTAATTTTAATCTATTTTATATATTTTGCTTAATTTTTATTTATAGGTATAGATTTTGTATGCTGGTCTTTTTGTAAAGCACTTTGGTCAACATCTATTGTTTTTAAATGTGCTCTATAAATAAAGCAAACAGCAAACATAATATTTGACTAGATATTTTTCAAGACACTTCTATACAGCGTAAAGCGACATTTAAAGGCTTAAATAGGTTAATTAGGTTAACTAGGCAGGTTAGGGAAATTAGGCAAGTTATTGTATAACGATGGTTTTGTAGACTATCAGAAAAATATTAGCTTAAAGGGGCTGATAATGTTGACCTTAAAATGGCTTTTAAAAATGTACAACTGCTTGTATTCTAGTCGAAATAAAACAAATAAGACTTTAAAATATTATCAGAAATACTGTGAAAATGTCCTTGCTCTGTTAAGCATAATTTGGGAAATATTTAAAAAAGAAAAAAAAAGTAAAGGGGGCTAAGAATTCTGACTTCAACTGTACATCAAATTTTTGAATCTTAAATTTCCCCCCAATAAAAATAGATTAGATGCATAGGTTAGATGGACTGAACTGAACCAATAACTTGTAAGAGAAATGTGAACCTTCAGATAAAATAAAATAAATAAATGTTCTACGAAGGGGACGGGGCTTCATTGTGTTTTCGTAACCGTGATTCTCATGGGCGGGATCAAGGATTTAAAAATCACTCACGCTTCTGGTGCCGTTTCACATTCACAAACACCCAAGAAAATGAAAAACTCCTCAGAATACGTGTGGGGCTATGAGTACTACTATGATTACGTGGATCCAGTCTTGGTGAATGCGAGTACACTGAAGTACAGCAGATGTGAGTGACTTTGACATTAGTTTATTCATCAGCCGCTATAATATCTAACAGTGTTTTTTAATATATAATTTAGATTCGATTGTGCTGATATTCTGGATGATTCTAGCTGCATTCATTGGGTTCTTCTTCTTGATTTTGTCACTTATTTCACATTCAGGACAACTGCCAAGGTAAGCAAAAAAAAAAAAAAAAAAAAAAGATTACGTGATGCTACAGTTGAAACTAGAAGTTTACATACAAGAGGAACATAACCATTACAAAATATATGTCTGATGGTAAATCATACTAAACGTTTACTATTTTAGGTCCATTAGGATTTACATTTGCTAAATGCCAGAATAATGCCAGAATTTTTTTTTTTTATTTATTTATTTTTTTAGATTTTTAAATTAATTTATTGACAGTCAAAAGTTTACATCCATTTCCTTGGCAAATTTTTTAGCTTTGCTTTTAAGTTGTATAACTTTGGTCAAATGTTTTGGGTATACTTTCACAAGCTTTTCACAATAGTTTGAAGGAATTTTGGCCCATTTCTCCTGACAGAATTGGTGTAACTGAGTCAGATTTGTAGGCTGTCTTGCTCGCACAAGCTTTTTCAACTCTGCCCACAAATTTTCTATAGGATTGAGGTCAGGGCTTTGTGATGGCCACTCCAAAACATTCACTCTGTTGTCCTTACAACACATTTTAACTAATTTGGCCGTATGCTTAGGGTCATGGTCCGTTTGGAAGACTCATTTGTGGCCAAGTTTTAATTTCCTGGCTGATGTCTTGAGATGTTGCTTCAGTATTTCTACATAATGTTCTTTCTTCATGATGCCATCTATGCTGTGAAGAGGACCAGTCCCTCCTGCAGCAAAACAGCCCCACAACATGATGCTGCCGCCCCCATACTTCACAGTTGGGATGGTGTTTCAAGGCTTGTAAGCTTTTCCCTTTGTCCTCCAAATGTAACACTGGTCATTATAGACAAACAGTTCAATCTTAGTTCCATCAGACCACTGGACATG